CACCACTGCCTCCTACGAGAAGCGAGTTGAAACCATTCCGGCGGACCATAAGGTAAAGCTACCCAATGGAGCTGAGCAGATAGAGTACTTGGTGAAGTGGCGAAAGCTTCCCCGAACTGAAGCCAGTTGGGAGCCTGAAGACGCCCTACGACATGAAGAAGCAATCATCAACAACTACCAACAAGCGTCGACGAGGGCGTCGACAGTTTAAGTGGAGGAGAATGTCACGAATGGTCGTCGTGCACTCGCAACAACTCTGTTCAACGAACCGTTCGTCGCTCACACCTACATGTACAACTGCTTGACAGCATGTTTTGTCTTGGTTTTGGGTCATTTTCCTTGTAAAAATGTAAGTTCGAACAAGCTGCAGCGTTACAAAGCGACCGCTCACCGAACCGAGCAAAACAACCCCAAAACAGCTCCATTTTCGTGTGTCGCGGGCTGATTTCTGGAATCCGCCTTCGCTCACCAAAACGTCAGCCATCTCAGCCCCTTGGAACCCCCCGGGTGGCACAGGGCTGGATGGGGCTTCGGTATAGTACCGGGCGTTGAACACTCCTTCGCAAGTTCGCACATTGCCTTGACGGGAACTTATTGTCGCGCCCGAGACTCGGTAAGCAACTGTTTGTGGGCTTGCAGCTGTTCGTTCAACCTTCTAAAGCCCTTGTTTTCCCCCTCTCTCTCTTTTCTCTTGTGCACGCAAGGTGCTCGCTGAATTGCTTGTAAAGCTTCCCCTTTTCGCGAGACTTCAGGACTTGTCCGTCGCTCGTTCTTTCGAAATAATCAACTTTCTCTTTTGCAGGTCCTTCGGGACCTGCGAGAGGTTGCAAGTAGGCTGATCTTTGCGGAGCAATATCGCAAGGGCGAAGCGCGACTTAGGCAACGCAAGCTAAGTTCGCGTCTTGGCCGCAAGGGTGCCTCACGCCTTAGGCAATTCCAACTAAGGCCGTGACACGGTGTCAATAAGAACGGTGATAGATTGTTGCTTCAGAAGTCCTCCCACTTTCATCGTTTGCGGGTTCGCGTAACCGGCAAGGGCATGCATCGTAATATTGACCGGCTGTTGTTCTTCATCCGCGACCTCTTCCTCATGCTCCTAGACCTCCTCCTCCATGTCTTCAAGAGGTTCAATTAGTAGGAGGCGGCCCCTTTTGCAACGATGATCGCGGTTCCACGGCTCGTCGCAATGCCAACAAAGACCCTTTACTAATCAGTCACATAGTTCTTCTCTTGTCAATTTTTTTGGCAGCGAAGGATGGCTGGGAGCAGAAGGAGGTTTATATGCCATGGGCCTAGGAGAGGTTCTCATCCTCCGAGCATCTTGGTTGAGCCATTCTTCTTGTATTCAGGCGAAAGAAATCGCAGCTGTCACGGTACGAGGCTATCGCGCCTTAACCTCCCCTTTTATCTCTAGCTTGAGTCCTTCGATGAATATTCCTAACAATTGACGATCAATCCAATCACAAGCAAGGTAGGATAGCTTCTCAAACCCGGTTTGGTACTTTTGAATCGTAGAGGTTTGTCAAATCTTTGCGAGTTGGCCATCGATATTTTCATATTCTGTAGGTCCGAAACGATTCAGTAGTGCGTTCTTAAATTGATTCCACATCGGAGCCCCATGATGGTATTCCAGCCAATTGTACCATTGAATAACATCTCCTTCAAGGTGGATGATAGTAATTTCCACCATAGCATCATCCGACGTTCGGTAGTAGCGAAAGTAACGTTCGGCGCGCGAAATCCACCCCGCGCGGGTCTCCCTCTTCCCATCGCAGGAAGTCCACCCTCATGCGTGGCTGAAGCATGTCCAAGGGCTATCCCTCCTTCTCTGGAGGCCTCTCTGAACTCTCTTCTTGCTGAAATTTGGTTGGACTCGGCGGTTGTCCAATTCTGAATTCTGCAAACAAAGCGCGCAATTTATCCTCCAAGCGCGATTCAAGCCGCGATTCAATCCGAGATTCCCATGCTTCAAATTTGGCATCAATTGGATCTTGAGAAGCCATAGCATATGCCTGTAGATCAAAGATGTCCCTATCTTTTTTTCTGTTGATGGGTTAATGGCATGGGGTGGTAGAAGGTTCGGAAAAATTGAGGATAACGGAAAGGTACTGCAACAGATTTTTACGTCTAAAGTATAGCAGTTTGGACGTAAAAGGTCAGTGGTTTATATTGAGAATTTTTTGACGAAACCAAAGAGAAATCCGCTGTTATGAAGTGTCAAAGCTGTTGTAAAAATTTCGTAGAGATTTAGACAGAAAAAACGCAGTAGCAAGATCAAACAAACTATGCTATACGGTTGGAATTCTGCAGTTCATCTAGCAGTTTGGACGTAAAAGATCAGTGGTTTATATTAGGAATTTTTTGACGAAACCAAAGCGAAATCTACTGTTATGAAGTGTCAAAGCTGTCATAAAAATTTCGTAAAGATTTGGATAGAAAAAACGCAGTAGCAAGATCAAACAAACTGTGTTATGCGACTGGAATTCTGCAATGCATCTAGCAGTTTGGACGTAAAAGATCAG